TCTGCAGGCTTTGTTTGTGAAACATGCAGCCACGTGGGATTTTAGGGGGCGTTTCTGGGCAGGGCTTGGTAAGGTCCATAGCACTAATGGTGAGGAAAGGAGGCAGATTTTGAGGAAATTCATGTCTGTCTCGATAGGACAAACTGCATTGTTTATCCTGGAATCACCATCTTGTTTTTTCCCTATAACAAAGTACCGACAGGCCATCTTGGGATGACAGTTCAGTTTTCCATTAATTAAATAAATAATAAATCTGAATTTAGATCAGAATGTTATCAGTTGGAGCCGCTCCAAATATTCACAATACTTGATGAGAGTCTCCATCCATCCATCCATCCTGTCATGAATTAACTTGCTATGTTTTCCTCCACAGGCCCTACCACCCAGTCCGTGGAGGGGCCCCGCCTACCACCCCCTGCAGCACAGACGTCTGTGACAGCGACTACACCCCCCACCACCCTCCTACGGGCATGCTGCTGTCGGGGGGACGCTGGAAGGCCCCTGGCCACGCCGCTCATGGCAAACCTACTAAATACTACATGGACCTTAACTCAGATTCGGACCCCTACCCTCCACCCCCCACCCCACGTTCTCAGTACATGTCTGCTGAGGAAAGCTGTCCCCCGTCCCCTTCCACTGAACGTTCCTACTTCCACCTGTGTCCCCCTCCTCCCTCCCCCTGCACCGACTCATCATGACCCTCCAACCACCTGGGGGAATCAAAGGGATGAAGTGGACTCACTTCTTTGTTCTGAAATAAACTAATGTGCCAACAGTCAGCCTGACGGGTGGAGGGGTGGGGAGGGGCTGTCTCATACCTGCCACTTTATATGAACTAGAAACTAGGTGAAGTGCCTTCCCCAAGCTCCGCCCATCCTCCATCTGATATTCCAATCATCCTCAGGAAGGCTCCTGTTGAGCCCACGGCCTGAGGAGAACTGCTGAGCTGGATCCCTCTGGATCCTTCTGGAACCTTCTGGAAGCTGTTGGAGTTTTGAGGTGATGCCTGCTTTGCCTCAAGCCTCAGAAAAGAGGTGAGGAGAGAATTCAGCCCGCAGCTCCTTCCTCCAGTCCCTGGACCTGTTTTTTCTGACAAACCCTGATCTGGCCATTTTTTCCTTTAACTCTTCATTATGGAAATATGAACTGAGCAGCTGAAGAGATCACTGAGACTGAATACAAGCCACTGGCCGGGGCCTCTGCCCCCCCTGCCCCTCCTGCCTCCTGGGCCCCCTGGCCATCTGGCCCCAGCATTTCACCACTGTCCTTCTCCTCTTGTCAGTGTTGGCAGACACGGCAGCAGCAGGAAGCATTAGGCTGCTGACAGAAAGTCCGCCTGAGTCATATTTTACTGATGGAACACAAACACCGTTTCTTGTGTTTTTCATTCCCTTCTTCTGTCTTTCAATCTTTTTGTGCCCCTCCGTTCCTTCCTCGTATCCCTCTATTCTTTCCTTTCTCTCTTCATTTTCTCCCTTGTGCTCATCCTTCTGTCTTTCCGTGTATGTTTCCTTCTTTTCATCTTTCCATACTTTCCTTCCTTCCTTCTTTGCATCTTCTTTCCTCCAGTCCTTTCTTACTTTCTTGTTTTTGTGAATTCCGTATCTAAATCTTATCATGGTGGAAATCTGTTCCTTAAATTCAAGGTGAACTTGAGAATTTACCATTTTAAAATGAACCTGAAGAACTGCTAGAGTTAAGTTTGGAATATGTAGATGAGACCTGTTTAGGAGCTTCTGTGACTGTTTGCTGGATGGATGGAAGCAGATGGATGTCATCACATGATGGATGGAGGAAGGAGTGAATGGTGGCAGCGGGAGGCGGATGCAACATCATCACCATCACAGCAGGAGCAGCTCCAGCTTTTGTACATAATGTGGAATGAAGTCAGTGAACCTGTCTGTCCCTCTCCTCATTGTCCTGTTTACCAAAAGTATTTTTGCTGCTATTATGTACAGAATCAATCAGATACTATGATATGTAATTACACAGAAATGCCAAAATGATCCACCTGATCATATTGTCATCCTGACAATAGATTATGAAGCTATTTTACACCTAAAAACAAATTATTCCTATATCATTTTGTCTCATTAGTATATCTGTATGTTAGCTCAGCATGTATTAGCCTGTCTGTCGGTGTTTGCTCTGTGGACATTAGCGTTGCCATGCTGGTGTCTTTATGTTTGTCTCATCACACACAGATCTCAGAATCAGCTGTGAGAATCCTGCTGTGGCTCCTCACACAAAACATCCTGCAACTACCAAAGTACGCTTTACTGCTAACAGTTAGCTTCACAGGGACCCTGACTTTTGTCACTTTTTGTAAAAAAGAAGTTATGTTGGAAGAAATCGTCTTATTCATTTTGTTTACTTCAAGGAAGACATTAGCCTCAGTCTAATAGTTTAGCCACATTCGACACATTCATTTACTCATTCACATATTTCTTCTGTTTTTGCTTTTCTTTATCCCTCTGAAATGATTTATATGATGAAAATTTCAATGTCAGACAAAGATAACCTGAGTAAATACGAGAAGCAGTTTGAGGGTTTCATGTATAAAGAGAAAAAAGCTGTCTAAACCAACCTGTCCTGTGGAAAGAGTAGTTGCTACCTAAAGGCCTGTCAGGTGTTGGTGAGACAAGTCATTCATCCTCATCACTGTGGAGGAATCTTGACCACTTATCTTTGAAGAAGAGTTTTAATTCGGCCACACTGGAGGGTGTTTGAGCATGGCCAGCCTGTTCAAGGTCATACCTCAAGATTTTAATCAGATTTAAGTCTAAACTTTGTTCAGGCCACTCTAAGACTCTAAGACATTATCTCAGTTTTTCTAGACTAGTTGGTGTGCTTATTCAGATCCATGTCTGATCTGTTTGCATTACACCTGCTCTTGAGTTGCCTCAGATCAGATCAGGGCATAATGTTGGGCTTTTAGATCTATTAGCTTCCTTCTTTTAGTCAGAAAAGTTCTGTTGAAGTGATTTCTTGACAGCCCAAGTCTAACAGTAATTCCACCTGGAAGTGGTGAGTGCAGTTAAGCTCAGAAACATGATTTGTCATTATTTATTACTTAACAAGCTCTCTTCAAACCCTTTTACACCTAATAAATAAAATTACAATTTAAATCAATTTTGTATTTGCTCAGCTTATCTTTGTCTGATATTTAAGCTCCTTTATCATAACATTTAATGTAAAAAAAAACTGATAAGGGGCAGATACTTTTTTTCCACAAAACTCTAAATACTTCCCTCTACAAAAGAAAATTATAGTTTCAGGTGTAATAGTGAAGGTCCAGATGAAATCAGTCTGTAACTGTCAGGAAGCCATTAGTGAGAAACGAGGCACCATTGTGTCCCAATAAGGAATTTCACCAACATTTCTGAAGTAAAGCAACTTCAGCGCCTCAGCATGAGCTTGATCTAATCCTCTTACCCAGAAACATTGAAGCTGCTGACAGGCGCCGACTGACCTGGTATCAGTTTCTGGCTGCTGCTCCATGTCAGCAGCACAACTAATTTCCTTCAAGGGCTAAAAACCACTGCCAGTAAACTTCTGTACATGTCTCAGCTTTGAATGCTTTGTGTGATTTACAGTGCTGAATTTTTTTTGTATCAAAAGCATTTTTATATAATAAAGGTTTTATTTTAAAGAATGTTGTCATCTTTGATTGTGAAAGATGACAACTGAATTATTGCGTAGATCACATAAAACTTAAGTAGTTATTTAATCAGTTCTCATTTAATTGTTCAGCAAACAGCATTAAACATACAACACGCTGTTTCTCTGGGATCATTTCACTTAGCATGATTATAAAGATAAAGTATATCCATCCATCCATTTTCTTATGCTTATCCAGAGCAGGTCACAGGAGCCCCAAGTAGGGGGCCCCAGACCTTACTGTCCCAGCTTCTTGTTCCTTAGCCCGACGCTCCTCATCTGCAGTTGAACATCGTTCCCAAGGCCATTGCCCCTCCAGCGTGTCCTGGGTGCTCCTCTGGGTTTTCTCACTGGAGACTCAGGTCTCCCCTAGAGGGCGCTGGTGGACCAGAGCTGCCAGATTATTGGACCACAGCTCTTCTAGTGATGGGAACCCAGCTAGCATGGGGAGACTCAATCATGGCTCAGAAACGCATCAAGAAGCTTTATGACGCAAACCTGAAAAACAAAATGAATTTAAAAAAAATACGAGTAAGTGATGATATTTATCTGGACAACATAATCAAAACCTAATAAGCCCTAAAGTATATTTTAAGAGTTTTAATTGAAAATAAATTGACTATATCCCAGGAAATTA